GCCCCCTACAACACAGACCTGCTTTCTGAAAATGGCCTGTCACCTGTGTTGAAAATGTTTACCACCAGGATTGGGGCTTATGGACTGAAGAGGGTTTTCATTTGTGCTCATGCTTACTTTGCTGACTAACTTTTAAGATTGGAAGAAATTAGAGCCCTTAATACATCCATGTTATAGAATTTCTGCTTGACTTTTTAAATTATTTTTACACAAAAGTAATATTTGTTCCTGATTAAAACAACTTTTTTTCAAACCATACAGCAAGGGAAATATTAAAGTGAAAAGAAAATTCCCATCTGCCAGAGGTAGTCACTGTTATGTTTCTTGTGTGTTTATGTGTTTGTTAAGAAAATATGCCCATGCAAACACATGGGCTTATGTCTTTATCCTTTTTTCTTAAAGCCTGAATGAGATCATACAATATATTATTTTCTACAATTTGCTTTCTTAACAGTCATATCTTTCCGCATCAGGACACATTGATCCAGCATCTCATTCTGCCTTAGGGCTGTTTCTTCTGCCTGGAACAGTCTTATCCCAGATATCGTCATGGCTTACTCTTCCAGTCCTTACTTAACTGCTGCCTTCTCAGTGATGCCTTCCTTAGCTGCCCTATCTAAAAGCTCAATCCCTTCCCTGTCACTTCTATTCCCCTTCCCTATTAGTGACTTTTTCCTAGCACTGATTATCTATAATACTTTTTATTTTGTCTATTGTCTGTTCCCCCACTGTAATGTACACTCTCTGGTGGGGAGAAATTTGTGACTGTGACATTCACTGCCAAATCGCCAGCCTTTATAATAATTCCTGACCCTATAGTAGATTCTCAGTAAATATTTGTTGAAGGAAATAAATTACTCTAATTCATTTCCACAAAGTATAAGTGAGGTTCTCAAGAATATATAAATTCAAATCACTCACATTTAACTCTATCGATAGCCAAGTTTTCAAATTCTATCAAAGATATGTTTCCAGAAGGCGGCTGCAAGTAAAACTGAAGGCTATGTGGGTAGCAAGCATTCCTCTGGTCATCTGCCAACCTCAGTTTCCTCCGATTTCCTCCAAGAAACTGCATCTTGTTACCTTGGAAGGAAGCACCTAAAATGGTTGAAATGATGGAAAACGGAGTTTTTAAAAAATGCAAAAAAATAACTCCACATGTAAAGGGAAAAAAAATTGAATTTAGGTTTTCAGGTTGCCCTACTTTTATGAACAATGCTGTATTGAACAGTCTTATACATATATTTTTGTATTATTATAGGATAAATTCATAGAGGTGGAGTTGTGAGTTTAAAGGATATACACTTTTTTTTTTTTTTTTTTTTGCGGTACGTGGGCCTCTCACTGCTGTGGCCCCTCCCGCTGTGGAGCACAGGCCCCAGACGCACAGGCTCTGCGGCACATGGGATCCTCCCGGACCGGGGCACGAACCTGCGTCCCCTGCATCAGCAGGCAGACTCTCAACCACTGCGCCACCAGGGAAGCCCTAGGATATACACATTTTAAATTTTGAATACTTCTCTCCCACTCCCCTTCCTCTCCTAAGGAAAAAGGTATTATCAAATTACAGTCCTGCTACGAGTGTGTAAGGATACCCATTTCTCTATGCCCTTGCCTACACTGATTGTAATCAACTTTTAAGCCTTTGCCAATCTGATAGATGAAAATGATATCTCATCTTAATTTGAATTTCTTTCATATGTAAGTAAAGTTGAGTACCATTTTATATAATTATTTACCTTTTTATTTACTTTTCTGTGTATCTCTTTTTTTCTATTGTTCCATTAGGTTGTTTTGCTTGTGTTTCACCAGCGCATCTTTTTTTGCTTTGGTACATTTCCTGTCTGTAGGCTGCAACCAGATATAACCCAGAGAACAGTATACCTCTGGGCCACAGCTATTCTCTGCCTAGAAAATTTCTAACCCTGGTGTAAACATCTTCATCTCTTCTTCTTGCTCACGTTTTTATTTATTAGTAAAAACAATCATATAAACATATAGCAGATGTTGGCTATGTGCTAGGCACTGTGCTCAGCATTTTATTTATTTTTAAAAATCTATTTTAATGTCATAGCAGCCCTATCAGGTAGTACTAGTTTGTCTCTGTATATATAATTTATATATAGAGAGAAACTGAGGGATAGTGCTGGAGATCACACAGCTATAAGTGCTTAAAGCCAGGATTTGAACCTAAGCAGGGTGGCTCCAGAGCCTGCCCTCCTAACCACCAAGCTCTGTTGCCTCCAGTGTGGGCAGTGGGTTATGCTGCCCATTCTGTTTTCAGGAGATGCTTCTGCCCATATGTCCCTATTCAGAAAATTGACTACAGTTACTGAAACAAGAGAAAGGTATTCATGTTCAGGTCTGCGAGTTTTATCTTATAAGTTAGTTTTCATTACATGGTTCAAAATCAAAATAATAAAATGAAAGGTATATAGTGAAAATTTTCACTCCCATTCTTGTCTCATCTACTCTATTCCCCCTGTCCTCTGTTTTTGCTAGTTTCTGTATATACTTCCTGTGTTACTTTATATACTTATAAACAAAATAAATGAATATATATACATGCACACAGGCATACCTTGTTTTCTCTCTTTCTTTTTTTTTTTTTTTTTTTTTTTTTTTTTTTTTTAAACTTTTTTTTTGGAAACAACCTGGTACCCTGCTTGTAGGATTCTCAGCAGTCTTATCAGATGAATAAGAGTGGCCACTTCCTGACAGATGCAAGAATCTCAGGATATTTTAGGGACTTTGAGAAGAGAGGAATTTACCCAGATCTATAGATATTGCAGGCATAATCTTTTTTTATTTTTTAAACATCTTTATTGGAGTATAATTGCTTTACAATGGTGTGTTAGTTTCTGCTGTATAACAAAGTGAATCAGCTATACGCATACATATATCCCCATATCTCTTCCCTCTTGCGTCTCCCTCCCTCCCACCCTCCCTATCCCACCCCTCTAGGTGGTCACAAAGCACCGAGCTGATCTCCCTGTGCTAGCCATACCTTGTTTTATTGCACTTTACAGATACTGCAATTTTTACAAATTGAAGGTTGTGGCAACCCTGCACTGTCAGATGATTCTTAGCATTTTTTAGCAATAAAGTATTTTAAATTAAAGTGTATATGTTTTTAGACCTAACGCTGTTGTACACTTAATAGAGTACACTGTAGTGTAGACATAACTTTTTTATGTACTGAGAAATGAAAAAACTTACGTGGTTCATTTTATTGCAACATTTGCTTTATTATAGTAGTCTGGAACCGAACCCACAATATCTCTGAGGTGTGCCTATATATAATTTTCCCCTTTCTTACATATAAGGTAGCATGTTATATATACGTTTTTGCACTTTGTTTTTTCACTCAGCTCATCCAACGGTTTTAAGACAATTTTATTCATCAGATATTTTTTCAATGCCTCTTTATACAAGGCACTGTGCTGGCTTTAGAGGAATATACAAAGAAGCGTGAAACAGAAATCTCTGGCCTCAGGGACTTTACAGTTCTTCAGGCTGAGAGCATAAATAAAAATAAAGTGTGGTGTTTATATGACATGTTACTTTCTTGACTGATTGAAGCTTCAATACAAAGCACACTTAGCCTGCTGAAGGTAGTGAACATGTACCTTGGTCTTTCGAGTTACTGAATAATAGGTCTCTTGAGCACAAGATCTATGCCTTATTTATCCTAATATCCTCTTCAGGACTTTATGGTTGAAAAATGAATCTGTGCTTGTTTTAAGTATAGACTTCAAGGAAACTTTTAATTCATTTTTCATGAACTCAAAAGACAATTTTTAGAATTGTTTTGATTTTGGAATTCATCCCTGCCTGAGGGGTCTTGTGAAATTGGATTGAAATGAAATTTTCATGTGCCTAATTAGAACAGAAGGAGGATGGCTCATCTATAGAGGGTGTGTTTTGGTGGGGATCTTCTTTTTCTTTTACTGAGTCTTCCTCCTTTGTTTCCTCCTACCCATTGGCAGAAAGTGAAAAAGAGTCAGTTAATCCCAACTACATAACAGTGTTTTGTGGCTGTGGGCAAGCTACCCTCAATTTATTTGTTTTGGGTCTCAGCTTGTGTTTATTACAGCCTAATTCTGTTGAAAGACATCTTTGTTCAGAACCCCTCCAACAGTTCTGGACATTCCAGGAGCCATGAGGAGGCAGTACGATATAGTGGTTGAAAGAGTAGGCTCTGGAACCGGCCTGCTGGCATTGAATTCTGAACCGTCCGTTTTGGCTATGACAAGTTACTGAACTTCTATTTATTTTCACCGTCCCCAAGTAGACATCATAAATGTTAGAGGTCTATGAATTGATTCAGTTTATTTTTCCCACTGAGCTTTACAGCCAAGGACAAGAACTGAAAGAGGAAATCTAGCACTTAATGTTTCTCTAAGCACTTTTCATCAGAGATCATAATACACGTTACACATGTAACGTGCACATATTACACACATATAACACATGAACTGTCTAAGCATCTCAGTGCTTAATCTGGTGCAAGGAATATTCTTTGACAGAACATGAATCCCAAAGAAGAAAAGCCAGCATTAAAGGTCACACAGAGTTAGAAGTAGTAATAGAATGTGGGTTTTCTCTTAGCCTCCTGTCCTTGGCTGCCAAATTGTTCTCTGAAGAACGATTTGTGAGAGGCCTTTTCCTTTGGAAGCCTGTTACTGTCACAACAAGAAAAGAATCTCTTTGGAGGTGTATTTTGGGGCACAGGATAGGCTTTTTCCTCCCCATCGTTTTTGTTGTAGGAGTCTGGTGCTGCTGCACATCTGATTTGGGAGAAGAGGGAAACAGTCTGTTGCTCTTTACAGGGCTAGAGATGAGTGGGGAACATGGCCTGTCAGGGTGTTCCTGTTATCCTGCATGCCTGGAAACCCATCAAGTAGTCTCTGCAGGGTAAGGGAGTTGCATTGCTTCAGAGTCTTTTGGACATTTGGACATCTTCTTTGCATCACAGTCAATCTGATCTGTTCCCTTAGGCTCTTTATTGAGAAACTACCAAAGCATCGAGATTACAAATCGGCTGTCATTCCTGAAAAGAAAGACACAGTAAAGGTGGGTCTTCACTTTAACTGTTGCCCATCTAAAAGCTTCAGAGAAGCACAAACTAACTCCAAAATATAAGTAGCAGTATCTGCATCTGAGCATCATATCCTGCAAATAGGAGATAAGGCCATTTCACTAGATCAGTTACAAAATATCTGGTATGGTAGGGAGTATTTTAAATTAAATTATTTAAATTTAAATTATTATTTAAATGTTTTTAGAAACATTGTTGCCATTGCCAAGTTGACTTCAGTTTTTTTACTGCTCTACTTTATTAGCTGGCAATTGTTCTAACTCCCAGTTTTTGATTTTGTGTCTCAGAAATTAAAGGAGATTGCATTTCCCAAAGCAGAAGAGCTGAAAGCAGAACTGTTAAAACGATATACCAAAGAATATATAGACTATAATGAAGAAAAAGTGAGTATGTAATAGCAAAAAAAAAAAAAAAAAAGGAAATTATTTTGGTTTCTTAGGCTGGGACCTAGGATTCTGATAGATATTTCAGCAGATCTTGTGATTTTAATGTGACCAAAGAATATATAGACTATAATGAAGAAAAAGTGAGTATGTAATAGCAAAAAAAAAAAAAAAAAAGGAAATTTTTTTGGTTTCTTAGGCTGTGACCTAGGATTCTGATAGATATTTCAGCAGATCTTGTGATTTTAATGTGATATTTTACTTTATTGGCAAAGACCAGAAACTCAAAAAAGGTGTTTAGGCTGAGGATTCTAATACAGATTTAGCCTGTTTATCTAAGAGGATGATTTGAGGGACAGAATATCTATTGCTTGTCTGCTATGTCTAGAGCTAGAACCTAAGAACAATGAAAATCGCACTAAAGTATAAGGTTTTTAGATCAGAGAATTTGGGATATTTGATACACATTTGATTATATCCAACATAGGATATACCTGTTTATAATAATTGGGGGTTTTTTTCAAGCTATTTTCAAGTGATTCTTGTTAGGAAGAGTCAGTTAAAACACATGAGAAGCTCTGAGACAGTGTCATTGGTCTGTGTCAGGTGAGAACACACACTGCAAGCACTTCCACATTCTTTTGTACACCCTACTGAATTCTGTTCTGGACTCTGATGTTGAAAATCAGCAGAGAGGTGAACAGCTATGTATTTCTAAGGTACCCAGTGAGTGAAAACCTTCATGAAGGAGATTATTACTTGATGTTTCTTAGTAGTTTAAAATGTCACTCTATATTGGACCAATCACCAGAAAAATTTCAGAGGCTTCATTCAGGGTTAAAATTCAATAGAGACCCCCAACATGGCAGTTGTAAGTTTGGATTTGGTTCTGTTTCACAGCCTTACTTGGGATACAGATTGTATACATGGCACACCAGAGGCAAAAATTGTATGATACAGATTATGAGGTGCAGACAGTAAGTTGCCTTGAGATTTTGGTAAAGAAGAAAATGCATTAGTTAAAGTCATTGGGAAAGGGTACCGAGAGGATCAGGACTTTAACTGTTTTTGAAGAATAGTTGTATGGTAGTTAGATAGACAGGAGCAGCAGCTGTTCCACGGGTGTAGAGGTACTAAGGGAAGCATGAATTCTATGTTGGGAACTCACGCTAGAGCAGAAGTACATTTGGGGCAATCTCCCTGCTGAAAAGCCTTGTTCTTCTAAGATGTGAAGTCACTTGAGTATAAAGTGTTAGGCTAACTCCTATTCATTCTTTGTAGAAGAAGGAAGAGGAAGAATTTGCCCGAAACATAGCCATCCAGCAAGAGCTGGAAAAGGAAAGACAGAGGGTGGCACAACAGAAGCAGCAACAGTTGGAGCAGGAACAGTTCCATGCCTTTGAGGAGATGATCCGGAACCAGGAACTAGAAAAAGAACGACTGAAAATTGTACAGGAGTTTGGGAAGGTGGACCCTGGCCTGGACGGCCCACTGGTACCTGACTTAGAGAAGCCCTCCCTAGATGTGTTCCCCACGGCACCTGTTATATACACACAGCCTTCGGACTGTAATACAACTGTAAGGCCTGCCAAGCCACCTGCAGTGGATAGATCCTTGAAACCTGGAGCATTGAGCAACTCAGAAGGTAGTGAATTCATTTGCTTCCACACTCTTCTATCTCAGCTGCAACCAAACAGGGTGTCATTCCAGGAGATTCAGCTACAACTACCTCCATGATACCACTCATTAGGCTCTGGTCACAGAAATCCATTTGATTAGTATTACCATACTGTGTTCTATCACAGCTATATTATAAAGTGGACTTTGCTTAAGACATATAGTTTACCTGGGCCAGGTCGATTTTCTGAAGAGCTAATAACATCCTTGAAAGTCAGACCCTCAGCTTTTAAGGGTTATACAGAGATTTGAAATGTTCAGTGAACTAGAGACCACTGTTGACCTTTTGGAAAGGAAATTTGAGATTGATAGTACCACTTTACAGTTCAACCACTGACCTTTAAATAATAAAAAAGAGCTACTGAATTGTGCTTGCCCTGCAAATGTTCCTAATTGGTAAGGAGTTTAGTCAAGGTAAGTATTGTACATAGTCAGTGATAATTCAGTCTAGCCATAAAAAACTGTTGAGTCTTTCCTCCTCTCACCAATGTATGGCTATCTGAGAAAATAACAGTAGCGGCAAAATGATGAGTATGCCTTGATTATTAGAATAGATCTTTTTGTTAGGAATTGCCTTTCAAGTAGTCATGTAAAGAGCTCAGCTTCGCAGAAGATCCACTTAAAAGAACAAGGTAAGAGTGGGCAAGGGGTGCTGGACTCTTGAAGCCTGGCCTTCAGGGTTTCTCCCCATGTACTTGGCAGGATTGTCTCTCACTATTATTCCTGAATAGCTCAGAAACTTCTTTTAAGCAGTAGTTTACCTTTGTGTTAACTTGAATGATTAAAGCCTCTTTTCTTTTCTTGAAATAACATACTCCCAATGGCTGTAGCAAGAGGTTGGAGAAGAGACTTTACAGCCCTTTTTCTTCTGCCATAAGGATGAGATCCCCACGCGCTACCTACAGTTGCGGGACCCCAGTGATTTAGCATTGCTCTCCCAGGGCTGCCAACTCTGAGGTCTGCTTGGGGAGGCGGTGCCCCATGATCTCAGACGTTTCTTCTTTCTCCATTACAGCTCCTACAATCGATGGACTGCGCCACGTGGTGGTGCCTGGGAAGCTCTGCCCACGGTTTCTCCAGTTGGCCAGTGCCAACACTGCCCGGGGAGTAGAGACGTGTGGAATTCTCTGTGGAAAACTGGTAAAAGACAAATGCTTTCCTGAGCTGAGACTGTTTCTTCCCCCTTGGCCTCCTGTGACTCTCAGAGAAGATATCCAGGGTCAGTTATTCTTTGTGCCAATCCTTCTGCCAAAGAGCCATGGGCAGCGTAATGCAATGTCACCTTGATTTTAGTGACCCTGTATTTGATTGATTTTCAAAGTCCCTTGAACTGAACTGATTATTTTAATGCCAGTGGTAAGAAATACCTAATTCTAAACTTGGTAGGAAGATCCTGTATATCAGCTTTTGAACACCGACTTTATGGCAGGACCTGGGAATATGAAATATGTAAGGCACGGAGCACGTGTCCGCAAAAAGTACCCAAGCACTTTGGAGAGATGGGAGATGTACACCAAAAGATAGATAGTATGCTGACTAGTATGTACAATAAAAGCACTAGGAATTATGAGGAAAGAAGGATCATTAAATGGAGGTGCTTAAAGAACCCATTACTAACTGCTGAATAAATAAACACATAAGGTGGAATAGACTTAAACTGAGCTTTAAAGGATGGGAAGGGCTTAGAGAAATAGTAAAAGGAAACTACTCTAGACATGAACAAAGGAAGAGAAATGGTACTATACCCAGAGCTTTTTAAGAATCATGAGCAGACCTGTTTGGCTGCAGCAGGGAATTCCCACAGGGCTGTGGGCATCTGTGGCTTTGCAGAGGGCCCCAAGCAATGTACTTGGGCAGTCAGGGTTGTGAACATGACTGACATAAGGGACTCACCTCACTTAGAAGACTCATGCTGGGGGGAAGGGCCTTCGCTTGTATAGATGTTTAACTTTCCACTGCTGTGACAGAGTGGGGTTGCCTAAGTGCCAGGGAATTGTGATGAGCTGTTTTCTCATTTGACAGATGAGGAATGAATTTACCATTACCCATGTCCTCATCCCCAAGCAAAGTGCTGGGTCTGATTATTGCAACACCGAGAACGAAGAAGAGCTTTTCCTCATACAGGATCAGCAGGGTCTCATCACACTGGGCTGGATTCACGTAAGCAATTCCGAGCTCTCCAGGGGTTCGTCTCCTCTTCTCACATGATATTATAAACACACTGCTTATTTTTTTCTTGGAGCAGAGTGAATTGTATCCAGACTATTTAGATGGTTGTATTTCCCTCTGTTGGATGCAGACTTGACTTCCCTAGCATACTTAACTGCTTGCACCACAGTATTGATCTCCGGGCATTCCTTAGGGCTTTTTAACTTAAAATTTTTGAATGGAAATGAACTTGTTTCCCTAAAGTCCCAATTCCCCTGTGAGCATGAACAGTGATAGGATGCTAGCCTGGAGTATATGTGGACCTTGACGGTAGAGGCTATGCCTTACTTCGTACAAATGATGTTCCTGAAAGGTATATAAATCAAAATATTTTAAATGAGCCAAGGAAGTTAATTCAGATGCCTCCATTTGGTCTTTCTTAAAGCAGCCTATACTTCTACATAAATCAGAAGGGCCACCAATATAGGAGATTTTCAAGTGTCTGCATGTCTTAACAGTCTTCTGGTAATATTCAGGTAAAATATAATTCCATCCCTAAAGATTACTTCTTAATTTTTCTTTCTATTCCTTTTCATCCCCTCATTCTCATAGACCAAGCTGTTTTCCATATTGTGTGACAGGCTTACTTAAAAACAAGGCAGCTCATTTCTGGATTTGGGAAGATTGCACACACTTGTATGTTAGAATTTGGGAAATACTGACCTGTGAGGCAGTCAGTGTGCCTCTGTCCTTTCATAAATATTTGCCTTTTATTGTGTATCCCCCATTATCATACATGGGGAGTAGAAAACTTGTACCTTATCCGCCAGGGGATACAAATTGGAGTAAGATATGATTTTAGTCTCATAAAGGAGACTGACATATAGACAAGTCATAACTCTTCATGTGAGGCAGAATGTGCCAAGTGCCTCAAGAGGTGCAAACAGCCCTGTGGAATTCAGAGGAGGGAAGGATCACACCTGGGGTGATTTTCTAGAATTTTGACAAGGTGAGCCAAGGCAGAGTTCCATACGGAGGGGACAACATTGGAATAGGCAGACTGTGATCCTGCAGCATTGAGTGGTCCAGTTTTCTGGGGCTTATGGTTCATATCGGGAAACAGTGGTAGGTAAGCTTTCACATGATACATTAGGAGCAGTGTTCTGGAGGGTTTTGGGTGGACAGGCAGGATAGTTCTGCTTTTTAGTGAGGAGGTTGAGGCAGGGAGATCATTTAAGAGGTTAATGTGATGATAAAATCTAATAAGGATGAGAGCTACGGTGATGACAGTGCATTTGGGAAGGAAGAGATAAATGTAGGATTTCAGAGGATGTGGGGAATGAGTAAGAGCGGATGACGAGTAAAAGTGATGACTTAGAGATTTCAGGCCTGACTCATGGGGGTGGCAATGATTAATCATCTCATAAGCAGAAACAGAGGCTCCAGCAGGAGAACTTACTTGGAAGTGGGGCAAATGGTGTCTTCCGTTGTGAGTATTTGACATTATATTGGTGGAGGTAATTATCAGGCAGTTGGAACTTGGGAACAAGCTCTAGGTGAGAAAGAGAACCGGGAGACCTGCATAGAGCTGACCTTGGAAGCCTTGGAACTGGAGGAGGGTGGAGAGCAAGAAGAGATTCACTGGCAGCTTGAAGGACAGACCACTTAGGGGAGCATAGGGAGTAGTCAGTCATGAAGCGAGGAGATGTCAGAGAAAGGTGAGGGGAGTGTTAAGGCACAGATGCCAAAGGAGGAGGAATATCTTAAGAAGAAGCTTCAGGATGTTAACTATGTCACATGCTGCAGAGAGATGAAGACTTGTATGAGCCCTTTGGATTTGATGAGGTCGTTGATGACCTCAGTTTAGTGGGTTTTAGGCAGATTAAAAAGGTTTAAGAAGTAATGGGTATTGAGGTTGTGGTGATAGGGAAATATATACTGATTTTTTGAAGAGCTTAGCACTGACTAAAGGAAAGGAAGAGATGGAATGGTGGCTTAAGGAATAGCCCGGTTGAGAGAGCTTGCTTGATTTATGGTTTAGTGTGAAAATGTGTTCTGTTTTTATTTTGGTTTTGTTTTAAACCTTTATATTTGAAATGTGTATAAGAAAGTACATAAAATAAATGTGCACTTTAATGAATCATTAAACAAACATCTGTGCGCACACATTACCTAGGTCAAGAAACAGAGCGTCACCAGAAGCACACTCCCACCTCCATGTCCTGCCCAGTTACCCTTCCTCTCTGGTATAGATAGTCCCTCACTTGAAATTTCTGGAAATTCATTGCTTTTCTTTATAGCTTTACCACCTAAGTGTGTATCCCTAAACTCAATAGTTTAGTTTTGCCTGGTTTTGAACTTTATGTAAATAGAATTATATAATATGTATTCTTTTGTACTTAGCTTCTTTTGCTCAATTTTTTTTTTTTTTTTTTTTTTTTTTTTGCGGTACACGGACCTCTCACTGTTGTGGCCTCTCCCGTTGCGGAGCACAGGCTCCGGACGCGCAGGCTCAGCGGCCATGGCTCACGGGCCCAGCCGCTCCGCGGCATGTGGGATCTTCCCAGACCAGGGCACGAACCCGTGTCCCCTGCATCGGCAGGCAGACTCTCAACCACTGCGCCACCAGGGAAGCCCTTTTACTCAGTTTTTAAGGTTCATCTGCATTCTTGTGTATAGTTGTCTGAACATTTTTTTTTTAATATATTTATTTATTTATTTATTTTTGGCTGCGTTGGGTCTTCGTTGCTGAGCGCAGACTTTCTCTAGTTGCGGCGAGCGGGGGCTACTCTTCGTTGCAGTGCATGGTCTTATTGCACTGGCTTCTCTTGTTGCAGAGCACAGGCTCTAGGTGCGCAGGCTCAGTAGTTGTGGCACACGGGTGGGCTTAATTGCTCCGCGGCATGTGGGATCTTCCTGGACCAGGGCTCAAACCCGTGTCGCCTGTATTGGCAGGTGGATTCTTAACCACTGCGCCACCAGGGAAGTCCCTGAAAATGTTTTTAACCCCAGTGAGCTGGTGGAGTATAGTGGAGCCTGTGCAGGAGATGTCAGAGGTCAGGAGAGACAAGGTAATGTGAAGATAGGAAAGTATTAAATCAGAAGTACAAAAAGGGAGTCATCTTCATATGGGGGAGAAAACACTCACTCCTCTGAGACAGAATTGAAGGAAGAAAGAAAGATACTGAGATATTTTTGAGGTTATAATTGGAGGGGTTGAGGGAACTCATTTTAGGTGATCTTGCTATCAACAAGGTTGAAGTCTAGATCCACTGCCCAGCAGGAGGAGACAGGTAAGTTTAAAAACTGGAGAAGATGGGGAAAGTTTGGAATCATTTCTGTTTAGACTTCAGGTAGATCTTAGCCACAGATGAGTAAAAGGATTTTTAATATCAGAGGGGGCCTAGCTAGGAAGAAATTTAGAGCCTAAATTGATAGTATTCCAGCTTTTTTTCCCCATGATATTTCTGTAGCATTCCTTCCTAACTTGGGATTGAAAGCAAACAAAAGCAGACCGTAACGTTTGTCAGATCTTAAAATTGGCAAGAGGAGAAGGCAAAAGGTCAGTTCTTCCTTCTGTACCTTGCCAGCTATAAATCAGGTTCCCTGGTCAAAAACTTTGTATGGTCATGTTTATCACCAACTATTGTGTAACCCCCAACTCAGTATTCACCTCGTCTTACCTGGCATTGCTCTCCTGTGGCTGCCCTACTCATCCAGGCACCCAGGCTGCCCTGAGCATTCACTCTCCTCACTTATTTCTGCTCCTTTGGTGTATTGTTTTCTCTTCATAAAAATGCCTGCCTCTGTCACCAGCATGGTGGACACAGTGAGCATAACTGTTTTTTCAAGAAACTTGACTGTAAAGGGAAGGAGAGAAGGTGCAGTAGTTAGTGGGGAGCAGAGGCTCAAACAAGATTTTTTGGTTTAGTTTAACAATTATTTATTGATCCCCTGCTATGTATCTGTATATCATCTTTCTAGCTAACCCAACTTTAGATTGGAGGCCTTCATCAGCTTGTGTAGGTCTTATTTGTTCTCAGTTAAAATTTCAGGCTGTAGCCATGGGGTGTAGGGTGTTGGCACAGGCCGTTTGTCCCTAACAGTCTATAGGATCATATTCTTATTAGGTAGAAACTGTTTCTCCCTTGTGGTCATGAAAGTTCTTTCCTTCCCCATGCAGACCTGTGTGTAGATTTACTGTCAGCACTCAGCTAACATGTTCCTGTATTGCAGACCTCTTCCACAATGAGCTGGTCACAGCATTCTATGCAGTTGTGCTTCTCAGATGAGGCTGCACATAAGAATCATTTAATGAGCTTTAAAGAAAAAAATTTCCTTCTCAGGATGGATATTTCCAGGGTGAGGTTCAGGAGCCTATGCTTTTGACAAGTTCCTCAGAAGCTTCATTTTTTGCACAACAGGGTTGAAAACACTGGTCAAGGGCACAAATTTATTTTCTGTGCTTTTCTGTCAGTAAAGATTGGTGGTCTTTTTGAGTCATGTTGGGTCTTTCTTTTTCCATCCTTGTTATCTCACACCCCCTCTGAGATGAACGTAAGTCATTATATGGTCCATTTGTGTACAGTGTGATCAATGAAACATTAAATAACTGTGGGATTCCAGTGGTTAGGACTCACTGTTTTCACTGCTGGGGCCTAGGTTCAGTACCTGGTTGGGGAACTAAGATCCCACCAGCCACGAGGCGTGGCCAAAAACAAACAAACAAACCATTAAGTAACTGAAAACAGATGAGATAAACTGAATGTAATTTAGATGGTGCTTTAACTGATTACCCTCAAAATTCAATATCATGGTCTTTTTCTCAAATAAGACAGGGTCCTTTGTGTGATTTAACTACCCTTCTGAAATCCCAGTAACCCTCTGCCTCTCATATCCTTGAAAGATATGCTTTAACCACAGGACAGCTTTTGCTACTTTTGCCTATAGAGCCCCAGACTCATGCTTGACCTTTTAACCCCTCCGTCAGGAAGAAGAATCATTCATCTAACTGTGCTTTGTTAAGTCCTTGACTTCTACTAGGTTGTTGTATTGGGCAGCATGTACTGTCTGATCCAGTATGGGAGATGCCATTGTGTTGAGAGAGCTTGTGAGTAGCCAGATAAGTCTTGATGGTCAGTTAGAAATTGAGTCTCTTCACATACTCATGTTACACTATACTCGTTTACAGTGCTGGGAAGGAGGTTCATTACTTACTATGAACTTCAGGCATATTCCTCATGGCTGCTAATGGCTTTGTACGTAAGGAGATCGTGGCAAGTTATTGAGAATTACTTGGCTCTACCTTCCTTCATGGGCCAGGCTTGACTGTGTATTCTCGCTGAAGGGGTCCCTGCCTTTTTTTCTCTTCTCAGACTCATCCCACGCAGACTGCCTTCCTCTCCAGTGTTGACCTACACACTCACTGCTCCTACCAGATGATGTTGCCAGAGTCGATAGCCATTGTTTGTTCCCCCAAGTTCCAGGAGTAAGTACATAGGGTGCGGTTCAGGGTTTTGCAAGGAGGTAGCGGGGGCGGGGGGGGGAAGCCTCAGAGGAAATGTTCTCCATTCTTAAGACCTTGTTCTCTATAAAATATATAGATTGTGGTATTGATTGGCTTTTTAAAAAGGTTTCCTTTTAAGTCCTATATCCTGATAAACCTACTCTAACTTGTTTACAAAAGTATCCAAGCAACAACCTAGATGCTTTTATAAGAAAAGGACATAAAAAATTTGAAGTGTTTGACTTGAAGCAGTAGGAATTTCAAGAGATTGATATCAGATTAGAAAATTTCAAAATCCAACAGATTATCTCCAAAAGTTAACTTCTTTTTCATTCTAAATCCTGTTATTTACTATGAATTCTCCCAGTAAAAGTAGCGTGGTGGCGGTGATGAGTCATTCTCTAACTGATTCATTCGCCAGAGAAGAGACCTATGAGCCAGCATACTTTTGAAGCTGTCTCAAAGTGAGCTCTTCACTGCTCTGTGTATGTGTGTGTGTGCGTGTGTGTGTGTGTGTGTGGTGTGTGTGTGTGTGTGGTGTGTGTGTGTGTGTGATTGAGGGGACACCTTTGCTTGATTCTAGACCTGCTTTTTCTTATTTCAGAACTGGATTCTTTAGACTAACTGACCACGGACTAGAGGAGATTTCTTCCTGTCGCCAGAAAGGATTTCACCCACACAGCAAGGACCCACCTCTCTTCTGTGTATGTATCTATGTAGAAGAAATCGGAGCTGTGCTTTAACCAGGGAGGACAGTCAGAGCTGATGAGGCACATTGTCCTTTGTGACACACACAGAGGATCAGCCTTGTCACTTATTTTTCCAAATCTTCCTAATAAAAACATACATGGGAAGTGGTGTGGGATAGGAAGGAGTTTGAGTCTTAGCTCTGCTACTTAAGGACTGTGTGTTTTTGATCAAGTTACTTAACCTTCCTGGGCCTCAGCTTTCTCATCTGTAAATGAAGATGATAATAATAATAATACATACTTGAATAGGGTTATTGACAGGATTAAATGAAGTGATGCACAGAAAGTACCAAGTGCAGTAGCTTGCTTATTAAATGTTAGGTTTTTTCTTTCATCATCATCAGTTGCTAAGCCTGCATGCACTTCAATAAGAGATTTGAATTCAAAAGAAAAAGCCACTTAAGTATATTTAATTTTGGAATTTTGCTTTTAGATAACAGGGATTTTTATGACCTTATTAGAAAGTTTTTTTCCCCAAGTGGTATTCCGTGAGTAAAAAGTTTCAGTTGCTGATAAGTATGTTTCAGTTTTTCCCCTCAAATCTAATGTGATGGTATTGCTTCACTCCATGCTGGCCATGGAGTATTATTATTTCTTTTGGGTTCCCTGAAAAGTGACCAATATGGAAAAGGGACTCAGGCCCTTGTCACATAAAAGAAACTGGGGATGTTTAGGAGAGAACCCCAGGGAGCATCTGAGAACTGACTGTAAGTGTTAGAAGAATTGTTGTATAAAAAGGTATTGGGTGTGACTCCCAGAACTAAAACTTAAGATCCTGTGGGATGACAGTTTTCAGCTGAGTATGAGAAAGAACTTTCTGACAGACTTGTATAGGTTAGCCTGCCTTGGAATGTAATAAATGTCTAGGTACCAGGATGTTGAAACAGAGACTATACAATCCCCCAGAAATGCCTAGGCTTTCAGTTAGGATGAACCCTTATGCATGCCAAGAGGGAGTATTCCCCATGTGAGAGTAGGTGTACTTTATTATCTGGTTGACATAATAACCCAAAAAACTGCAATGAATTCAGCAGTTATTTAAAATAAATGTATATTTTATGAATGACTCTAGAATATACATACATTTGAAAAATAAATGAAGGTATATGGGCCCACATTGATTCAGGCAACAGCCTATTGATTCTGGGTTGGTGGAAGTAATAATTCCCAGACCCCTTACCATAACAACCATTTAAGTAGCAGTCTGGCTGCCAGCCTGGGAACCACTAGCCAGAATAAGCATTGTAAATAGGAGTTTTGTTTGTTTGGGTTTTTTTTAAACATATATATTTACATATCATGACAATATACAAAAGATATAAGAAGTTAGGCAGTGAACTGCTTATTGTAAATAGCTTTTAAACTTGCTTTTCAAAGATAAGAAAACATACAGGAAGTTAAGTAAAAGATATCTTCCATGACTTCAACAAGTAAGGAGTTTTAAAGATGACTTTTCAGAATTTTCCAGGACTTTCCCTTTCTTTCTTTTTCCCTGTTGCAGAGCTGCAGCCACGTGACTGTTGTGGACAGAGCAGTGACCATCACAGACCTTCGATGAGAGTTTGACTCAGACACTTCCCAAGAACTATAAAACCATATCAGTATACTGGTAGCCCCTTAATTTAAACTTTCCAGAAAGATCTGGAAGCTTTTTAAAACAGAATAGAACGTAACACCTGGGGGAGAACTGATTTTCTATTTCTGGTTTGAAAAGAAATAATTGAATATGTTTTTTAGGCACATCTGGAAAATAGCATGATCATGCTAAAGCAACTTTTCAGTCTGCCTGCAACTAAAAAATTAAGTTGAAAACATGTAATGAACACCTATATACCCTTTGTTCTAGATTCACCAATTGTTAACATTTTTTCCCTCTCAGAGATCCTTCTAATTTCTCTGCCAACTTGTTTATTGTTTACCTTTGGACTAATTAAGGGCATCTATGCAGAAATTTGGAAGCCATTTAGAAAATCTTTGGGTTTTTCTGTGGTTTATGGCAATATTAATGAAGCTTATCGTAAGGCTGAGGGAGAGCTTGCTGTGTTTGACCAGATGGTGAGGCCCAAGAACCCTGAAGAATGATTTTGTCATTTGAGTTATTGTTATTTAACAAATATTTAGGGATATTTTTTCTTCTACAATAAAATAACAACTATATATTTTTTTGTGCTCTAGAATGATCTGTTGAATCAAGCATTGTCTAGAGAGGTTAACTAAATGGTCTGGTTATTTGGGGAAAGGTGAGGGGAAAATGGAATTTGAGATGTACCAACATTGAAGGTATGTCCCAGTTCACTTTTAATTGTTCAGTCTTTTCTCTCTGCCTTTTGCCATCTTCCAGGACTGTGAAGTCATCTCTGTTCTTTTGGTGCTATCTCAAGTCGGTCATCCCATTCACTTCCTCCTTATGCCCTAAAAGCTTTCAGCTGAGGATAATAGAGTCTTTGTTTGGAGTACCAGGTTACACTCCAAATAAATGATTATATTCCCATGCCACCCCACCCTACTAGTTTTATTGTGTTGGCTCTTCCTTTCTGACTTAGGCAACATCTAGGAAGATGTTTGAAGCTGCAGTTGATTCTGTATTTTTTCTGTGCGCTGAGCCTAGTGTTATAAGGTGGCCCAGAAATTAATGGTATTGTTTGTGTCCTCTCTGGTCAGGGCAGGAGAGTAAATGCCTTGGATAGGAGAATGATTTCTTTTTGTATCAAAATTCTGTGGTAAAGAAAATTTGCAAATGTATGAAGTTTTGCTTCATTTTAAAATTTTGTGTCCCGAATATATTCAGTCTTTATTGCTTAGGTTAGCAGCCCTTGAACTTTTCCCCCGAAAGCCAAGTGTCTATATTCTTGTTCTTCTCATAAGTTCTTAACTCCAAAGATACTAGAAGTTCTTTCTTCTGCAGTTTCAGAGTAGGTGGGAATGTGGAGGTAGGTGGGTCTGGGCAAGGGAAAGAGAACCTCTCTGGTCACTGCCCTCCTTTCCTGCCGTAGCCCCAGAGGTAGCCTGGACTGCTCCCCTTTGCCCTTAACAGTCCTACAATTGCCTGGCCCTGCACTTTCCAGGAAATCCACCCCTTCTTTCCATTCTCAAGGCTACTGCTTAGTTTAGGATCTTATTACCCCTTACTTGAACTATTGCAATAGACTTTTTACCAGGTCTCTTTGTTTTTAGTGTTTCTTGACTCCAGTCTTTTCTGCCCAGTACAGTCAGGAGAAGTTTCCCACATTACAGCCATCCTCATGTTTCCTCACTTGCTCAAAAACCTACAATAGCTTTCCACTGCTTAAAAATCTAAATTTAGCCCTTATTCCAAACTTTCTACATATGGCCACATAAAGCTCTTACCCCTGACTACACATTCAAACACTTGGGGAGCTTTTTAAAAAATACTGATACACTCCACCGCCCCCCAACCAGTGAAATGCAAATCTCTGGAGAGGGACCCCAGACATTGTTTGTTTCTGTTTTTGTCTTTTAACCTGCTAGGATTCTCAAGTGCAGCCAGGGTTGAAAACCACTGTATTAGTCATTTATATTGGGGAGTTTTGAACTGATTCATCAATCTCTGCACATAGACATTCAGCAAATGTTTGTTGAACCAAAGTGAACTGTATCATAGATTGCAACCACATCGATCATTTACTGTTTACCAGATCGCCACATTTTCTTGCCTCCACATCTGTGCAGAAGAAATCTCAGTAAATGGATGGGTGCGGGAAATCCGTCTGCAGTTGTCCTCTTCAGACCTGCTACAGTCTAGCCACAAAAGTGGTACTTTGCACAGACCAGCTTTAGTGTCTCACTTCACCCTACATCTGTGGAAGAGACATGCTATCAAGCCAGCTCACAAGGAAGCAGGGAGACTGGGTAGGGCAGTGAGAGAAAAGGAGCCAGAACTGTAGGGAA